GCATGAGGTACAAGATCTTATCGAGAATGGCTTGTGACATTATGGCTATTCCTATTACATCAGTAGCCTCGGAAGTTGCCTTTAGTGCTGGAGGAAGAGTGGTTGATAAACATCGTACATCGTTGGGGACAAAGACCGTTCAAGCTCTACTTTGCACTCAAGATTGGTTGAAGAATCATTATCATTTGAAAAAGACTGTCAAGGTAAATATATAATTTTCCTTTCAAAAGTTTCATATTTTTTCATCGAAATCATTTGGTTTAACTTAATTTCTTTTCCTTTCTTGTAGACCATGACCAAAAAGGAAGATGTTGTGGAGATCGACCTTTCTTAATAGGACCTTATAATCATGACCTTCGAGGAATTTTGGTTTGACTGAAGGTAAATTATCAATCACCCTTCTGAACAATGTATTGTGTTTCTATTGAGTTGCATGCTGGTCATTTATGGGTTTCTTGGAGCTATTGCTTCTGTCCTATTCAAATAGTTGCTTACGGGCTAGAAACAGATAGAAAATGTTGAGAAAACCAAAGCGGCACACAATACGTATATATATAAGAAAGAAACATGATGGTTAGAACTGGTGAATTTCAAAGTAAAACTGGTGCTCCCTCTGCCTTTTTAATAAAGAAAGAAACATGGTGATTAGAAGGTGTGCTTAATTTAATTTGAATGGTTGGGAGAAGAAAATCAAAACCTCCATTTGATCAAAGTTTGTTCATACTGGGAAAAGGATCCTGATTCCTGGGTATGTCAAACGTGGTGTGTGTAGTTGATGTTCATGATTACTTAATGTATCATCATCAAAATCTGTTCACTCTTGTCAAATAGTTGCTTATGGATCATAATTAAAAGTGTGTGATGTAAGACTTGGATGGATTGATAATATTTTTATTATATTGTTTTTATGGATTGGGTGATGATAATCATTCTTTCTTTTTCTTTTATTTACCCTTGCAGAATCTGGTAAGAGGAAGCACATTTTGAAAGTTAATCAACTGTGGAACGATTAACCTAGAGCATGATGGCTCAACCTTAACCTATATTTTGTCTTGAATATGTAATTGTGTCGGAGTTCACGTAGAACATGTATTTAGTCCTGGATATGTAATTTTGTGGAAGCTATGGAAGGATTAAACGTACCATTGTAAACGTGGTCATTCTCTTGTTGATATTGAAGTTTGTTGTAGTTTTTAGTGTTTCTTTTTTGAATTAAAATTATTATATTGCACAATTTCAGGGGAAAAAATTTCAAGCCGAGTTCATCTCGAGTCGAGCTAGTGTTGAGCTTGACAAGTTTTGTTATCAAGCATTTATCGAGTCGAGCCGAGTCAAGCTCGAGTTGGATAATTTTGTTTCCAAGCCGAGTCGAGTTCGAGCTGGATTATCTACATTCAAGCTCGAGCCGAGTTCGAGCCGAGCAAAAACTCGACTCGACTCGGCTCGTTTGCAGCCCTAGTTGTGAACAAGCATGCTCCCTTATAAGACTTACTCCTTCACTTTTGTGTTTTCGGCTCGAACTCGGCTCGTTTGCAGCCCTAGTTGTGAACAAGCGTGCTCCCTTATAAGACTTACTCCTTCACTTTTGTGTTTTCCCTTTTAAAGGCCCCTCTCATATTTCCATCCCAACTCATTTGTCTCGCAATTTTAGTTGAAAATCCAAAATCCTCCCAATATTTAATATTTCAAAAGAAATGGATTAGATCCTATGAAAACTAAAAGGGTAAATGACACATTTGGTCACTAAGATTACTAAATCGTGTCATGTTTAGTCACTAGAAAATTTTAATATCAATTTTGGTCACTCGAATTACTGAAACAGGTCACATTTAGTCACTCGAATTACTGAAACATGTCACATTTAGTCACTCTCCCGTTAGTTTCGGGAGAGTGACTAAATGTGACATGTACCAGTAATTCGAGTGACCAAAATTGATATTAAAATTTTCTAGTGACTAAACATGACAAGATTTAGTAATCTCAGTTACTAAATGTGGCATTTACCCAAAACTAAATGCGACATTTACCAATAGAATGTTACGATAGAAAAAGGATTTATGGATATTTTTAATGTGAATTTTTGGAGTGGGAAATGAGTTCAATCCCTAAACAAAATGCAGTAATTGGATAAAAAGATCTCAAAATACTTGGGCAAAACAACGTGGAAACTAGGTCAAGAATTTAACAGTTGTTTAATATTTGGTCTCAACAACAAAGAACTTTCAAGCACTCTATCCCCACATAAAGTGGCATAGAAAATAGTGACTGATTTGGTAGATCACACAACAAGTACTTGAAGGATATAGTTATGGATACTCAAGGTTCAAGAAGTTGCAAGGTAGGAATTGAGCTCCTGTCTAACACCTAGGCATTTTAAGCAATCATAGCAAATTTACATACAAAGATGATGAAGAGTAAGAAAGAAGCTTAGGATTAACGAAGTTGGATACTAAGGGAGAGGAATTAAAGTAGTACATATGGCAACATGGTTTTGATTGTTTAGCGGTCAACGGTGGCAAATAGTAGGACAGAGCGTGGGGTCGATCAAAGCAGGAGATGAGAAGCAGTTTAGTCATATACGTTAAATTTTGTTGCCCTAATTTTTTGTATTCCAATAGAGGAAGGAGGCATGTAAAGGACGGGTTGTTGGAGGAATTAGTCGAACATAAGGATGACGTCATTTTGAGACATTTTAATACATTTATTTGTTTTTTTATCTTTATTCGCTAGACCGCCTAGCGTCGATTAATCGTGCCTAACTCCTCTTAAGCGGCAACTAGGCAAAGTTAGGCGGTGCCTAGGCGTTTGAACACCTAATGATCTGCCTAGGGCCTAGGTTACATTTTCTGCTGCTTTAATACCTAGGAGCACCTAGGCGTACGCGGAATTACTTCTTCTTCAACCCTGTGTGTACTATATAACTAGCTCAACTAAAGAGGGGGGGGGAATTACTAGTGGTATATATAGAAACTAGCTTATTACCCGGCCCGTTGGCCGGATTACTTTATGTTACCCACTTGCGGAATGGGAGAGAAAGCAAGTGAGAGTGAAGGGATTGGGATTCCACTTGATTAGGACCGACCCACTAATTCGATTCTTCCCGACCCGCCCCAACCTAAAGGGTCAGAAAGAGTCAATAAGAAAATACGAACGGAGATGATTAGTCATATATCTTGACTCTTCAGAAGTGGGTCAAACAGGATCAAGGTTGGGTGAGGGCAATTTTTAGCGCTAAGCAGAGTTCTGGGTTGAATAACTTTACTTAGGCCTAGAAATTGGTGCTGATGCAGACTGCAGTTTTTATTATACCATCGTCAATCATCATTGAATTAGTCCTGGGCATCCCTCCCCGTTGTCGGTCTGAATTCTAATGATGGCTTCGTTCCTTGCACCAGCCATATCAGCGAGTTGTCATCTCGAGCATGATTTGCCTATGTACAAATGATACAATTAGAGTATGAAACTGAATTCAAAGAAAAGAAAAAGAGAATTCTATCACATGCAAATAAATACACACATAATAGTTGAAGCTAAGTGAAAGTCATTACTCGCACATCAATTCTCAAAAATTACAGACTAAACAATGGCTAGAATGGCACTGAAACCACCATGAATCATGGACGAAACAACTTGTCAAATTAAATAATCCTTATACTGAAACTACCTTCTAACTTGAAATAAGACATGATCACAGTTCATAGCTCTCTTCTCACTATGAATTGGTTGCAGCTCGTCCTTATCACTGCCTCTCAAGCTCAATTCAAACATAATAGAGACCGTTATGTAAGATAACCATATCCTTACTGATCATAATTCATTTCTTCACTCCATTTTGTCGGAGAAAAGAGTTATCCAACACAAAAATAGCCTTCGCCTCTGCCATCTCCATCTACTGAACGCGTTGGTGGCAAGATAGGACTGCAGAAGCAAAAATTTCTAAAAACAAACTAAAGTTTTTGAAGGAGATCAACCACGAAAAAAGAGTAAAGCGACAATGTTAATAGTTCAGATGGTTGGTTTTGATGTTATACGTTGCTTTTGTTCTGGTCTCCAGTATATCAACTGCAACAGAGATGTTTCCTCCAATCATCTTTATTGCACGATTTAGAAGCAAGTCCTCCTGTTTGTGTCAAACGGAAACATTCATGGGTTCTTAACTCCCCGTTAGTGTAAAAGCAGAGCAGCAAAGAAGTTTGACAACACAGCAAGCACCCAGGCAAAATGATACAATGCAGTAGGTGATATGTGTCTCGAAGGTTTTGAGTTACTAAAGTTCATGTTAAAAATAAACATGAATTAAAATGGATTATTCTATTAAGCAAACATCCCCTCTAACCATACAAAGATCAGATATCTAATTCACAAACAATTAAGCCATAAAAATTCATCACACATCCAACACCTTTGATTGCCTAAATTTGGTTTTTCGCGAAGTTATGGACTCTTAAGGGTAACGTTCATGGGTAGTCTGTTTCATAACTCTAGAGAGCACAGTACGCAACCACCAGCCGGACACAGTGCGGTAGGCGAATATGATTCTCAATTCACAATTTCTCACCACCGCAAGTAAGAACAGACCATAATAAGTGTAGCGTTCATGGGTGGTATGTTTCATAGCACTACTACACAATTTGTTAAAAAGGAAAGAAAGATATTTTTTATTTCCTGATAGCTGACGTGGCAAGTGAGGTGGACTTTGACTAACGGTAAACTCGGTTGACCGTCTAATTTGACGGTCAAACTCACCTCCCGGCCAAATAAGAAAATATGCTACATAGTTTAGGCCAGAATAGCAATTTCCGATACCACGGGACAAAGTAGAAAGTTTGTCTATAATTCGGGCCAAATTAAGATATGAAGAAAGGATATTGTTTTGCTTCATATTCAACTTGGGCTTCGCTTGTCGAGCCGGACCCATACCATATTTGGGCCCTGGAGGCCCAAATTGGCAAAACCCTTTTAAAATCTCAACCTCGTATCGTCGGATTGCTTACTGGCCGGTTCGGCAATGGAATCCCACCTGCTCACCTCGTCGTCTTCTCTGCTTTACAGCTCTTCCGCCACCGCGGGCTCCTCTGCTTTCAACCACGTCAAGCCCCATTGTTCGATTATTTCTTCCTTTCCAGTTTGCGGCAAGTGGAAGATCGGCGCCCAACGTGTTTGCTCCGTTAAAGCCATGGCTGCTTCTCCCGGGGCACAGAGCCATGGCCAGGTCCCGAACAAGGAAGCCAAGCTGTGGGGTGGTAGATTCGAAGAGAGTGTTACAGACATTGTTGAGAAGTTCACAGAATCGATTTCATTTGATAAGGAGTTGTATAAGCATGATATCATGGGGAGCAAGGCCCACGCTTCAATGCTGGCTGCCCAGGTTGGTTTTGGGGATTTTTTTGTTTTTTGGTTTGGTGATCTTTGCTTGGTGTTTGGAACTTCGCGTGACTGGGAAAGTAGTGGTTTGATAGGGGAAACTGAAGAGAGCTTTCTTTTAGCTTCTCTAAGGTGCTGGTTTAGAAGATATTGCCTTCTGACACTCAATTGGTGTTAGGATAAGTGGGGTTGGAAAAGAACTGTGGGAGAAGTTCTGAACTTTGTGATATGGAAGAAGCTAAAGCTATCTTAAGCTAATGGGTTTTTTTCGGTTGAGAAGTTCTTTAACTTGTGTCATCTGTTTGAATTTCCGCGTAATCCAAGTGCTTTTTTCCTGTTTCTATTCGTAGGGATTAATGAGTGCAAGTGATAGAGATAGTATTGTTCAAGGCCTTGATGAGATTCAGAAGAAAATTGAGGGTGGGGAATTTGTGTGGAGGACAGACCGGGAGGACGTGCACATGAACATTGAGGCAGCACTTATTGATATGATTGGCGAGCCTGCAAAGAAGCTGCACACTGCTAGAAGCAGAAATGATCAAGTTTTGACTGATTTCAGACTTTGGTGTCGGGATGCAATTGATAGGATTCTGGCATCCGTAAAACATCTGCAGGTTGCTTTGTTGACTTTGGCTCTGAAGAATGAGGGGCTTATCGTTCCTGGTTATACACATTTGCAAAGGGCACAACCAGTTCTATTGTCTCATCTCCTGTTGGCATTTGTTGAACAGGTATACTCAGCATTGTTGCGTTGTACTTTAGATTGTTTAACACGGTTCATTTCTACAATAACTCGACTTGTAAGGGGCCTTAACCATGTCTTGGGTGCATGGTGCACTAGATGTTGATTTAAGCTGCTGCACCACAATCTGGACTTAGCTTGGATAGTCTTTCTTTTCCATCTCAGGAGGATTATATAGAGGATTTGGTTTGTTCTTCTAAGACATTTAATTGTGTCTCTGATCTTGTTTTGTAGCTTGACCGTGATGCTGGTAGGTTGCTTGATTGTAGAACAAGGATGAATTTCTCTCCCTTGGGTGCTTGTGCATTGGCTGGAACTGGTCTGCCCATTGATAGGTTTATGACCTCTGATTCTTTGGGATTCACTGCCCCCATGAGGAACAGGTATGCTAGAACATTTTTGCATTTCTTGGTCATTCAGTGGCTCAAGGTTGTACAAAACTGGATCATTTTCCTTGATATATGTGTTCGTTCCCTTATATCTTAATGTGTATGCCCTGAATGACTGATTACTTGCAATTTTCATGACAGTATTGATGCCGTTTCAGACCGAGATTTTGTCTTGGAATTTCTTTCTGCTAATGCTATCATTGGCATCCATCTTTCTCGTCTGGGTGAAGAGTGGGTACTGTGGGCCTCCGAGGAGTTTGGATTTATCACCCCAAGTGATTCTGTTTCCACAGGAAGTAGCATAATGCCTCAGAAGAAAAACCCAGATCCGATGGAACTTGTTCGTGGAAAGTCTGCTAGGGTTGTAGGTGACCTGGTTACCCTACTAACTCTGTGCAAAGGTCTTCCTCTTGCTTATAACCGGGATTTGCAGGTAGGTGCTACTATACATATGCTGAACTCGAATTAGTAGGCTGTACATTGTTTTCTGCTAAGGTAACTGTCCATGATGCTCTAATTTGTGATCGTCTTCCGAATCCTTGAATTCCTTCCATATCCTTACACTATTGTAAAGTATGTAGCTCTTGCCCGATATAGACACCTGCAGAGTCTGACTGTGCCCATTTCTCTCTCCCGAAACAGGAAGACAAGGAACCTGTTTTTGACAGTGTCAAAACAATCGTAGGAATGCTTGAAGTCTCAGCTGAATTTGCACAGAACATCACCTTCAATAAACAGAGAATCGAAAAGGCATTGCCAGCTGGCTACCTTGATGCTACAACACTTGCGGATTATCTTGTGAAGAAGGTAAGTAATGCTGGTTTCCGATCTTAGCAAGGGACCAATCTTGGTCAACTCAGATCCAGGTTACAGCAGTAGGACACCGGTAGCATGCCATTCTTCCACCTCCTCAACTTCCGCTTAAATTTCCCTGCAGGGTGTGCCCTTCAGAACATCCCATGATGTAGCTGGCCGGTCAGTCGCATTATGTGTAGCGAAAGGGTGTCAGCTTCAAGGCCTAAGCTTGGACGAATTCAGAAGCATCAGTCCAGTTATTGACGATGATGTATATGGCTATCTTGGAGTGGAAAATGCAATCAAGAACTTCAGTTCATATGGGTCTACTGGTTCTGCCCCCGTTTCTGATCAACTAGAGTATTGGGTGGCGAGACTAGAAATCGGCACCAAGTAGAGTATATCTGATTCTTCAGCTACCTAACAGGGGTGTCGAGAATGGTTGCTGGCAGTGGTTTTCGAGCTTCTATAATTTCTCAGAAGCCAGCTTGGAGCTTCCCATAAACAGCAGAGAAGCGGGGTGGAATGTCTCCCGACCGAAGCATGAATTCTATGTAGTTTGAGTTAAGTGATCTAGCTTATCTACATGTGGTTTAAAAATTAAGTTTGGAATCTATCTTACATCTGCACAACTTGTAGATTTATCATTTTAAAATTGGAGCTCTTAAGTTTTTTGGAAGGTTATTTTGAAGGATGAATGATTATATTTTCCAGAATGTTTTTCTTATAACTTAGAGCAAATACCACTAAAAAATCCAAACTATTAATAATGTGTCATTTGTGTATCGAACTATATAATATGACATTTGTGTCATAAATATTATACTGTTAATGTTAACCAAGTTTGACCATCAATATTTAACAGAAAATCCAATTAGCATCGACGTGAAATTTTTAATATTAATTTTTACACTTTTCCTCCACTCCTAAACCTCTTCGTTGCACATCTCCTCCACCGCCGCAGTCTCACCCTTCTCCACTTTTCCTCCGCTTCAAGCTTTGCTTCGCCTCCGCTCTCCGAGTTGTCCCCATCAGACTGTAACAACCCAATACAGCTGGCGCGTGTAAAGGAGTGACCGATGTATAAATAGAAGAAACCCCCTGTAACTGGATATCTTTTGGCAAATGAATAATACGATAGCTACTTTACCTTCTCTACTTTAGTTTAGCTCTGTAGAACTCTATCCTTCAATCTTTTCCTCTGTTCCTCCATTGTTCCTTCTCTTTGCCAGATTCTACCATCAAAGATCCTTACAAGTGGTATCAGAGCCTGTCATCTGGCACCCATGGCGTCTAATACATCGAGAATCATTGTTTTGGAGACTCAATTGGCGGCTATTAAGCAGCAGATGGACTCGCGGCACCGGGATCTGAAGGCCGCCATTGCTGATCTTGCGGCTTCGACAAAGGCCTCCTTCGCCGCTCTTACTATTTCGTTGGAGCAACGGCGGGACGATTCCCCGGTTCCTTCTCCACCGAGCACGGCGACGAGAACTCTGGGCCAGCTTCCTTCTCCCACTTTCCATTCTGCTTTTCCCATGTCTCCGGCCACTTCACCCCCACCACAGCAGAGTATCGGCGACAATCAGTATCGCGCCTTCAACCGTCCATCACCACGACGGCCTTCTTTCGTCGTCTCCGAGCAAATTGGATCGATGGCGGATTATCAGGTTCTTTCTCCTCTGTCTTCACCGGCGATGGGAACCCTAATTCCTTCGTCATGTCCTTCTTCTATGCCAATTTTTCGCCCAAGTTATTCTTCCCTAACCCCATATTCGAGCTCCATGGTCTTTCTTGAATCTTCATCTTCTCCTTTGCCTCTGAATTCAGCTGCAATCCCTAATTCTTCTAGTCCGCTGCCTTCTGTTTCGTCAGTTGATGTATACCCAATACAGTCGTTTGCTTCCTCTCCTGTTGGTTCATCAACTTCGAAGCCTTCACTTCCATCTCGTCCTTCTCCTGATCCTAATCATGAGGCAATCTTCATGGATACAAAGATTCACACCCGTAACTCGTTTCCTTCATCTTCTTTTCTACCTTCACCACCCCAAAAGCCTCCTACTCATTCTGCTGGAACCAATTTGTTACCCAAACTTCATACTACAGATTACTTGAATGAGGATACTATTGCCATATGTGCTCCGAAGAATGAATCTTTAGTTTCGAGCGTGGTTCGGAGTATAGCTTGCACTTTTGGTATTGGAGTTTGCTGTCCTGCTCGGTTTCCCTCTGAATTTCTGGGTTGCCGCATCCAATTGAGTGCCTCTAAATGGGATTACAGGGTCCAACTCTGTCATGGTTATTCTGGGAATCGTGTGGTTTCTACAGGGAGGGGAAACTGTCCTTGCTTCAAGGAGCCATACAAGGACTATTGCTGTGATGATGTTACGCTGTATTCAAGGAAGGCCTCAAATTCTGGTGTGGTAAGCTGTATGTGTTACTCTTGGGTTTGTAAGAGGAGGGGCCCTGTTCTTAGATTGAAAGGACCCTACACAGCTTGGCTTCACAAAGCATTGGCGTTCACACGGCTTCTGTGTTTGATTAAGAGTTTGGCGACACAATCTGAACAGTTGGAGCATCTGCCTTCTATGGTGTCTGGTGTTTGGTCTGCTGATGGCAATATGCAGCTCGAGGCAACAACACAGTGCAGCAAGTTGCTCTCAATTGAGCGGAGCCCTCCGATTGAGGAAGTCATACAAGCTGGAGTTGTTCCACGATTTGTCGAGTTTCTAATGAGAGAGGACTTTCCCCAGCTTCAGTTTGAAGCAGCTTGGGCGCTTACAAATATTGCTTATGGAACATCTGAGAATACTAAAGTTGTGAGCAGGCTGTATGGGCTCTAGGAAATGTGGCTGAATCTGCTCCTTGTTACCAGCAGTTATGTTTGTGATATTCCAGCAAGCTTTCTTCTTGATGCTCTTCTTGTAGTTGTTGGTCAGCAAGTTGAGAAGACAAGGAAGTGCTTGATGATTGATGATACACTGAGTTTGCAAATCATCACCAGTGACAATGTTGAGAAGGGCATGGGCTGGTTTTTCAGGAGGAAATTTCCAGTTTTCCAGCTTAGTTTCAGCTTGAGGACAAGCTGTATTTGAAGAGGGAGGGTTGTAACAACCCAATACAGCTGGCGCGTGTAAAGGAGTGACCGATGTATAAATAGAAGAAACCCCCTGTAACTGGATATCTTTTGGCAAATGAATAATACGATAGCTACTTTACCTTCTCTACTTTAGTTTAGCTCTGTAGAACTCTATCCTTCAATCTTTTCCTCTGTTCCTCCATTGTTCCTTCTCTTTGCCAGATTCTACCATCAAAGATCCTTACACAGACACCCTCCTTCTCCTTCCTCTGGGCATCACACCTTCTGTGGCCATTCATTGGCGGCCAGAAAACTAGGGTTCAATTTCAAACCCATATATAGAAAGGCTGGCGACAACGATTCGTTGGGAAGGGCAGTGCTGGCGAAGACAGCAGATGCTCCTCGGACTGGTGTGGGATTAGATTTTCCCCGGCAACGACATCAGTGGTTCCGTCCTAGGCGCGACGTCGTGTTTGGTTCCTAGTGACGCTGGCCTTTGCGCGAGCTGCCTCTCAGAGCTTCAACCGCTGCTTTTTTGCTCCTGCACTAGTTGGTCCGTCGGCTACGCTAAAAAAGAGTCTGTTTGCGCCATGGGTTTCAGATCGGGTTTCATAATAGAATGAAGCCAATTGCACCAGAACCTCTCCCAACCTTTGGTTCCATCATCTTCTCATCCCGGGGTTTCAATCATCGGGAGCAATCGTGGCGAACAGTTTGGGCAATCGCACAGAAGACGACGATGGCGAAGAAGGGAGAAGGTAAGAAGGATCGTGAGAGTTTATAGCTTTTTTTTTTCTTTCAAAATTTAGATTAATAGTATTGTGAATTTAAAAAATTTATTATTGTTTAATTTTAAATTAAAAATATGAGGTGTCAATGACGTAACATTTATGTGACTGCCACGTCAACAACAGTGAATAACCTTAATTAACTTTATTTCCCCTCTCTCTCTACTACCATCACCAACCATACTCTCTTCTTCTTCGTCTTTTTCTTCTTCTTCCTCCCATCTCTTCCCTCTCTCTCTCTTCTGCCAACATCACCGGAGTCCTCCCGCCGACCCGTTGCGCCCTCCGCCTCCCACCACCGCATCGCCACAGCCCCGCGCCGCAGCCATCCCACCGCCTCGTCGTGCACTCCGCCTCCCACCACTGCCGCAGCCCTCTCGCCGCCCTCACACCACTGCTGCATCGCATCCCTCCGACGGTGGAGACGCCGCCTCTGCCTCCCACCACCACTGCCACCAGGTCCCTATGCGATGTCCTTTCCTCATCCTTTCTTTTTTCAGATCTGATTTTTTTTTACGTTAGACTAGTGGTACTGATTTTCATCTAGTAGCGTACCACTAGCATCTGGTAGCTGCTAGTGGTACTACCATATGGTAGTGCCCAGATCTTAGTGGTAGTGTATCACTACCATCTGGTAGGCGCTATTGGTACGCTATCACTACTCATTGGTACGTACCAATGAGTAGTGGTATCGTATCAGTGACTAGTGGTAGCGTACCAGTATTCACTGGTACGATACCTTTGGTAGTTTTTACGTACCACTAGACAAAAATCATTATCATTAGCGCATTGACGGAGTGGTACTTTTTTGTAAGTTCCCGGAGCGAGTGTGATTAAAGGATTTCACCAGAGAAGGTCTGCCGGTCGGAGAAAATCAGCCGGTCGGAGTCAGTGGCTCCTGGAAAAGGAAGAGAGAGATAGGAAGAGAGAGAAATATATTTGTGATAGGATTTAAATTTTAAATTAAAACAATGTATTTAATATGTGTTTTAATTTTCCAAAATGTAATCAATATAAAAGGAAAGTAGAGGAAAGGTATTCGAAGAGAGGGAAAAAAAAAAGCGATTCTCTCTCGCCTCGTCGCCCCTCTCTGCGAGTGGGTAGCAGTTACCGCGTCGTGCGTTGGTGCCGACTGCGGGTTTCCGCCACGCTGCGGCGAGGAGGACGGCAGCGGCCAGGAATGGAGGCTATAAAGCTACCGCTGGGGAGCCTGATGCCTCTATCCCCCCTTCCTCCCGATCAATCACTTCCACAGTTGCTCTATCTCCTGAGTTTGCGCAACCCTAACTTTCGAACTCCAATGGCGGTCGTTCGTTTCTCCGATGCCGATGTGGCGGTGGGTACCACCAGAGGTGAATTGACGCTCATTGGGCGTGTTTGCGGACCGCGGCCTGCTCTTCATGCTCTCAAGGCGGATCTGCTGAGGATCTGGCACTGCTCCGGTGAGGTGTCCTTCGTGCCGCTTGATTGGGAACTTCTCCAAGTGGTTTTCTCTTCCCAGAAAGATGTCAACCGCATCGTCAGGAGATCCCCCTGGTTCCAACCCAAATACCTTATTCATCTAATTCCATGGACGGGTCCATCTGCTGATCTCGCGGAATCTCTCCTGCGAGTTCCTTTGACGGTTCAATTGTGGGGCATTCCTTACGCGTGCTGCACAGAGAGGCTGGGTTCCATGCTGGGGGCTTCGCTGGGTCCATCTGAACCGGCGACGATTCATCAGTCGGCAGTGTCCGGCAGCCTCTATGTCCGGGTCAAGGTTACCCTGGATGTCACCAAACCGCTGCCATATGAGGTTCCGGCAGAGCACGAGGCTGGTGACAAGGGCAAATTCAAAGCCGAGGTGAAGTTTGAGCGCTTCCCCCAATTTT